TACTCTGATACCTGATACTGTTCGTAGTCTGTGTACCACGACCGTACGGAGAAATACGCGATCTAATAATAATACGCTTGGGCAAAATTTAATGAAAGTCCGGACCCCTCCCCTTCCAGGAATACAGGGGTTGGGGTTTGTGGTGCCCCAGGTGTCCGGCAGGGTCCGCATGGTCCGCAGTCGCCTGCCTGACGAGGGACGACAAATCCGACGGGAGGGGCCGCGATTCCGCGGTATTTGTGTAACGGACGGCAAGGGAGGGGGCGGCTGGACTGCTCCACCCCCAGCCCCATCTCCTCGCGCCCCCTGTTTCCCCCTCACTCCACTGACGCCTCTGCTCGTGTCTGTTGCAGCTGCTGGCGGAGAGCGACGCGGCGCCCATGGACCACACGGCGTACGACCAGCGGGTGTTCTACAAGCGGGAGGCGCCCTCCTACCCGGAGCGCGACGCGGCCGCCGCCCCGCTGCAGGTGCCGGACACGGGCCGCGCGCAGCTGGTGGCGCCCGCGGCCCGCAACTGAGCTGTCGCCGCGGCGATACGCGGCGCGCGGGGGAGGGGACCCGGCCGCGGATGAGGGGAGGGGGCGGCGCTCACCTTCCAGCCGCGGTCCCACGGCTGAAGCGGCGCGAGCTGATACGGCTGCTGAAGTCACGGGACGACCGTTTTTGGACCGCGAGTTCAGCGCAGTATGGGCCCAGGGAGCGACGCCCACCCACACGTCGGTATTTCAGCAACTGAACATAAATCGTTGGAGTCAAATCGACCCGAGACAAGAGCTTGACTTGATTTGGCCCCAAAGAATGGGAGCCCCGCGTTGAAATACGGGCTGCAGGGCGGGCCGTCGTTGTCATGTCCCCCCTGCGCTGTTTTTGTTTTCATCCAACCGCACTCGGCCTCTCTTGAGCCGCTTTCCTCCCTTAGGAGCCCTCGTTCATCTCTGACGGCTCCCTTCCTCCGTCTCTCTTTCTCTTATTGTTCTTCAACATTTTAAAGACTTATAGGGATACAACAACGTTTTTGCAATGTTTAGCGGCCTTTTTTCAGCTACTCGCTCCTTGTTCTCACTTTTTCGTGTCCTGTGCATTTTCAGTGAGCAAGCGCTTATGTATAAAGCATTTTTCTGACCCTCATCAAAATTTTTGTGATCTGAAAAACTGAAAAATTGGCTCCTAACGTTTTGACGGCAAGTGAGTTGCTCACTCGCTGGAAATGCTTCAATATGCAGCACAGGCAAAGTTTCAGCAGTGCTTCTCTCGTTGACAAAAAAATAACCGGTGTACTAAAATGAGCTTGTGGTTGTGAGCTGAAGGTACCTCAGTGTGAGATGCACTGATGATACTCTCAGAATGTAGTAGATATAGAATTAGGATTTTAATTTCAAAATGCTTGAATCTATTTATTAGGGAAAGTTTAAAATAAATAATTTAAAGGCAAGAGAATAAAATTGTCACTGTTCATTTTTCTCTGACTCCTAAAAGCTTAAATGCGGTGCCGTGCCAATAGAAATTAAAATTTTAAGAAAGATATGTTATTTTTGTGAATTCGATGTAATCGGATTTTGAGAAAGGATTGTGCACCTTGTTAATGTCCTGTTTATGGTGCACTTTTAACCATCCATATCTTACAGTTGCCTCCAGTAAATATGAAATATTAAACCTATTTAAGTGGAATACTTAGAAAAACCTTCTTCTGCTTCTACAGCTGCACAAGCGTTGTAAAAAGTGCTCCCTAAACACATGGTGTAGAGTCAAATTACCGTTCTAACTTTAAAATTAGCCACTTAAACCAGTATTTGCGTGAGGGAATATGAGTTTGTAATAGTATTTAATTAGTTTACTTAGTTGTCCATCCATAAACGAACGCATGTACAAAGTGAATTCATTTGTTTACCTTATCTTGGTGTTATTGTTTCTTCTGTTGTTAATAACTCACATAATAAAGATGCAAACCTCAGTACTAGGCGTTTACCTTTCCCCTCCATCATCAACAAGTGTGACATATATACTTTGCGCGGACACACGAGCAAGAAAAACAAAGATTAGCTGAAAATGAATCCACCTACCTAACCTGTTGGCTTTCTCAGCTAATCCTGTTGTAGCGCATGGCGCAACGTAAGGCCCCGACCCGACTGGCGCAGCCGCTGGCCGCGTGTTGGGGGAGGCAGAGGCACGCGCAGCCCATTCGACACACACCACATCAGATGTACGGCTGGGCTGGCTTAGTCGGGATTCGATTAGAACTTTCTTCGTTCCACGAGATTGAGTCCCAGTGAACGGTAGGGACTTTTGGCAGGAGAAAAAGAACCGGGTTAAATCAGGTAGAGTTAATAAGGAGTTAATTATTATTACCTTTTGGTTGAAAATAAAGTAGAAGCAAAACTGGCACACATTGCCATGTGCTGCCAAACAATTTGTTACACAAAATACAAACCGTTTCCCCCTCCCTCTGCTTTTACTTTGTGTTTTGGGGTTTTGATCACTTTTGGATCCTGGAACTCTGCCAACTTATTGACGGTTGCCGACCGACCACAAAACACCCACCCGCCACTCGACTGCGGCGCCCCCGCGGTGACCCAACCCTTGGAGGCGCCCCCACCCCCACGCACGCAACAGGCCTACGAGCACAAACACAACGGTCAGGGTTGAAGAAGTGCTGCCCAACCCCGGCCCGGCCACACCCACGGCCGCGGGGCGAGGCAGGGCGGGATCCTCGCCCGGAGTGGCCCGGCCCGCGGGCCCGCGCCGGCCCCCGTGGGCGCTTCTTGCCATTCGCAACTTTTTTGATATATATTGGTCGTGGGACATTATGGGCGCTCGATGGCCGACCGAGAGCCAAGCTGGGCGGGGCGGACCAGAGCCTAGCCCGGGCTCTAGTTGCCATTAGCGGGGGCTTTTTTCGCGCTCTGGGTAATGGCCCGTGCCTGGAGGGGGAGGGGGAGGGGGTACGTGGGGGAGAAGGGAGCTTCCACCCACCCCCGCCCCCACCCCGTGGCCTACTATAGCTTTACCCCTACGGCGTGCTTGTCATGCCTCGCGGAATCCTCCCGATGCAGATTGCGATTCAGGTTAGGAGCCTGAGAAAAGAGAGGAATCGGGACATTCTGGCTCCGTTTTGACTGCATAAGTAATGCACCGCGCTGACGCACGGAGCCGGGTGCAGCCAGGTCGATCTTGCGGCTACAGGCTCCAGTATTCCCTTTGCGATCCGGCCCCGGCAGCCGCGCCGGCGGCCTGCCCGCCGCCGTCCCCGCCCAAGCAGGCGCTGCTGACCCCGACCCCATCAGGATGAGCGCCGGCCGAGCGGCTTGCTGAGCCTTCCTGATCCAATCCCTCTCTCTGCCGGACCGAAATCATGATTCCCTGCTGAGTGTCGCTGATCCTCCTCGGATCCGAGCGGCGTGACGCCAACCCTCGCGTGGGGAGGATAACAGGTGTCAGCAGGGGGTGAGAGGGGCGGGGCGGGAGCTGTCACCCCCGTATTAGCAGGTGGATTGGGACGGCAGGGCCGGCTGGAGTAGGGCGGGCGGCTGACGGGGCTCTGCCCACTTCCAGGTTACGGGGAAGGGGGCAGTACGGGGGTCAAGTTCTGCGTAGGGGATGGAGGGTACAGTATTCACCGCCAAAGCATAGGGGGAGCGGTCAGTAGTGGCTCTGGGTTACGATCCTATTACGATACGGTTTCCCAAAACTGCCCCACATGGTTTGCGAAAGCATATAGTTTAGCACAGCCTCACAGAAAGTCAGTTTACCGAGGTCCAAAACCGATTTACACTTGATATACTCTGCTCCGTACCGCAGGGTGTTTCGAGGCGGGAGGGGGCGCTGTCCGGGTGAAAGAGTAAGCGAGTGGGTGTGTTGGCATGCCGGGTGCTGCGTACGTGCGGGGGAGGGAGCGAGAGAGAGCAAAAGAGAGA